CCTTCTGCCTTCTGCCACTTCTGCAATACAAGCTAATGCTGCTAATAGATTGAAAATGTCTACAACACACACGATCGTCAGCTTGTCAGACCAGTCCTACCGATTGATTGCATGAATCCAATCTTCTTGCATTATTCTAGTAATTTCAGGTATATTTCTATTAGCTGCTCCTATTGCAGAAGGAATTCCGATGAGAAATCAGAGAAATAACCAAATTTCAAAAATGAAAACTATGTGAGTGACTATAGTAGGTACTTACTTTTGAATGATATAATGTACCATCCGGATTTCTTCATCTTCCGCTGCAGTTTTTGTGCATTTTACAACAGCACAATGTGATGGCATTAGCGAATTGATGAATAGCGGAAAAATACGATTCATATGCCAAAATAATTGTGGAAAACTATTTCGATCACTTGTAAACAAATATGTTTTGCCTCCAGGGTCAGTCATCTGACAGTTCTTGCACGCGACCTATATAAACAACGCAAGAACTGTCAGATGACCGACCCTGGAGGCACAACATTGAAATATGTAATATCAATGAAATATTTCGTTAATTCAACATCAAGTCTCGTCCATAATTGTATTGAAGAAGAGAATAATCAAAGAAAACGAATCAGAACATATCACGTGACAGGAATGGTTCTAAATATTTAGACACTTCTCACCTGAGGGTGGTGCATTCGTCGAAAACTTCCTGGCAAGGGTGCGGGGCAATGTCTGTTTGTACGTTTGGTAGAGCTGGAATATAACATTATCTTTTTTCATGACAGGAATTGAATGAATATATACAGGGTGTTAACAAATAAGTGTCACAACGGAAAACTGTAGATTCCTCATAATAAAAGGAACATTTCTTTCCTCTTCAACATTTTTCTCCAGGCTTCCGTTTTCGAGATACAAGGCGTCAAAAAATCGAAAATGTTCTGTTTAATTAAACACACTTTACAACACTTGATAAACTTAACAATTTGAAAACCAGCATCGAGACCAGCATAATCAAGAACCTGACATTTGATTGAACATATTCTTAGACAGTTCTGAGGTGTTTATTTCCAGTGGATTTTTGGAGATACCGTCAGGATTTTGTATGTTCTTATTCATAAAGAGCCATTTTTCGCAGAAACTTTTCACTTAAGAGCATTGAGACAAGAGGACGTTATTGTGTGAAAGATTATTGGCGCTTCAGAATCTACTTCGAAAATTACAATTTCCCCAGTGGCATAAATGTTTGGGGGGTTAAACCCTTACGAGGCGTTGAATTCTCCTCCACTGACATGCCCAAGGAAATTGATCAAGAGCACTAAAAGTAGTCATTATTGATGATAAAGTGTGTACGAAGGCCTAACTCCGAAGCTCAAACGGTTCCTAAGATAGTAGCAAAAAACAGTTTTTTTTTGTATTATTTTGACGCCCTGTATCTTGAAAACGGAAGCCCGGAGAAAAATTTCGAAAGGGAGAAAAATGTTTCTTTTTTCATGAGAAATATACAGTTTTCCGTTGTGACACTTATATTTGTTAACACCCTGTATTGATGGCTTTTTTATTGGTGCTAGTTCCGAAAAATAAGCCAATAACACTGTCTCCGAGAAGAAGTCTTCTTATTTTTCATTCCACTTTGCGGTTACTTAAACTAGTAAAACAACCACTAAGTTTGCAATTTTTTCAAATCAAATCACAGAATCACACTGAGAGATATTTGATTACTTCAAAATAATGATAAAGATGGCTGTAACGCAATTTGTGCTGAAAACTTCAAATTTCGCGTCGATAATTTCCTGATTTTGATATAATTTAATATCTTCTCAGCGTTGATCCATCCCTTTAGAAGAATATTAGACACAACCTCGAGCTAAAATCTACTACTTTTTTCCCTTGTATAATAAATATCTTGTGCTATAAATAACTGTTTTCAATTTTTGTTTCACAAAACTCACTTCTCAGATTTCTTACAATTACGGTTCTGGTGCTGATAAAATTGAAGTGCAACATTAAACTTGAAAGTGCATTGCTGGAAAGTGCTAGAATTACACCTAAAGCCGAAGTGCGAGTGTGCAGTGCTCATTAAAGTTTCTTTTCACAACTTACGAGGCTCTGTTCGAGGCAACAAGTCTCGACAGAAATCTAGACAAGACTGGTACGATTTGAAATTGTTGAAATTGCCTCCGCATCCAGAGAAAATAAACGCAATACATTCCCCTCTGAGATCATCGAAGTACCAACGTTTGTGGTACCCTTCTTCGCAACTACCTTTATCCACCTGCAGTTGGCATATCGCTACAGATATAGAAAACAGAATTAGGTTAGGTTAGAAGTGAGCATGCGCATTCTGTTAACAACCCCAGAAAAACTTAGTGCTCAGTAAAGACTTAGAGTTGTTTACGTACCTGTAGCTGTGATATTAGGTTTGGTTTCTTCATGTACCACGCAAATATCTTCACATTCTTTGGCTGAGCTGAATCTGTTTCCGTTTCCTTGACATCCTCCGAAAGCGAATTGTTCACAACGTCTGCTGTTCCGGTTGTAAAAGTACTTGACGAAGTACCCTCCGCATGGTCCGACGTCTCTATCCATATTGCAGATATCTAAGACATAATTTCAGAATTAAAATATATCACTAGAAATATTCAATCTTGTTATTGACGCATCTTGTTATTCACATTCGAAAAAGTACCTAGATCTAGGGAGAATCTAATCTGCTTTACATAGGCTCTGATGGAACGCAAATGGGCGTGTACACCTTAGTAGAACTTTTAACTCAAACCATGATTATAATGATCCTTTTATACATAAATAATGATTGACGACATAATTCGATGGAAAAATTAACTGGAATGTTATATTTTTGAACATAAATAATAGTACCTTCCGAAAACGGGCCCTCTTATGACGTAGAAACCTCATCTCGCCATAGTTGAAAGAAAATACCAAACTCCCGACGGAGACTGAGGCAACTGATATATTCATTCTTTCAACTGTGATTTCGCGCTAATTCACTCTGTCAGAAATCATGTATCATTCATCTCTGTCTGGAATAGTCTTGTTTCAGTATTAGGGTTTTGACGTCACATCAACGCCTCGTTTTCAGAGGTCCGAAAAATCGGGGATTTCAATAATTTTTTATAAAACGTAGGAAGCTCACAGCTAGAAACGGTTTGCGGTGGTGAGCTAGTTTTGGTGAGTTCAATCGAAATATGAAATAAATTGTTTTTGTGATACAAGCCCATTGTAACTTCCGTAGAATCTGGGGAAAAAATGTATGAGAAATATTTCTGAATTTTAATGAAAATCATCCTACAGTATAATATTGTGATGAAAGTGATAGATTTTTACATATATCTCCGCTGATTTTGACAGAACAATCCTGTTTCATGCTCTATTATATCGCACGAGAGGTGATTATAGCGGTATTGGTATACCCCTAAACCACTCGCCCATAACCACTAGCGTTCCTAACCCTTTCGAGTTTTCACTGTTGTTTGATGAAAGAATGAGCTGTCTGGGCTTGCATCTAATCATCGTATGTCAAATGTTCAATATTATGAGTGAAACTAGTGAAAGTGAATGTTATTCGTATATCGTGATTTGATTTTGACGAGAATCTTAGGACATTGATATCGGTATCGCGTATGTTAGGGCTACTTTTTTTGAGACCCGGTATATCATCAGTAAGTTAAACATCGAAAAGCCCTCGATTAGGCCGCCGCTGCTCCATTACGAGTTTTGATAGAGTTATGTTCGATTGTTCTCGTCTGGGTATTGTTAATCTAGCTGTTTATTTTTTGATCTGACTCAGGTTTTTTAGCTCCCCCCTGTATATGTTTTTCATTTAACATAAGATTTTTGCCCTGCCCTACTGCTATTGTACGTTACTACGCGTGGACGCTCTATATATCACCAGATGTGGCATCCGGTTAGCATACTCGTCGGAGACGGATGACCTTGAAAGCGTAAATTTTTGCTATTTTTGAGCTTGAAATTCGCTGAAAAAGTCCGTAGATCTAGGGGAAAATCTGATCTGCTTCACATGGGCTTTTATGGGGCTTTCCGCTGCGCATCGCGGAATTTCTGTAGAATCTAGGGAAAAAGGACTTGAAATTTTGAAAAAAGATCTGGTATCCGCATAGCTCATTTTACTGTATTCCACCTATACTTTACAACACTTTTCCCAGAAATAGAGGCACCATCAAAAAGTATCCAGAAGTTTGACACGAATTTTCATCAAAACTATACTTGCCCGATTTGGGCGTTTTTTGTTTTGAATAACAGGTTATCTTCTTCTAAATATTGGCATGCAAACTGTATTCGCATGAAAACTCCTTCTTTTGTGTATACCGGGTGTAGCAATTATAGCGTGTTTTTTTTTTATGAAATTTGAAATACTCTGTGGAGTGTAACAGTTTCAGTATCAAGAATTGAAATTACAGTCAGTCAAGTTGACCTCCCTGCTGATTGATCGACGGATGACCCGTTAGCTCAATTGGCAGAGCATTATTGGGCATGAGTTTTTTTCATTTTCCATTGTCACTCGAAATTAGGGCTTTCCATCTTTATCATTATTTATGTATCTTTTCGATTGAGTAACCGATAAAAATTATGATTTGACTCTGATAAATGATTATTTCCCGAATGCCTATTGATTTCGATTCAGCCAGGCCACACTAGACACCTACAGACCGGTTTCGTGTTCTTTAACTCTCACCAGTGCAGGGCAGTCTCCAGCTAGCCAACCGACAATCAAGTCGGCATTATATTAGCTGAAAGGCGTCCTCCATAGACAATATGAGAGCAACGCCATCTGAGTAGAAAAGAAAGTAGTTCTTTTTCTCCTGAAATCTACCATTGATGTTCATTTTATGAACATTGTGTGGAAATGACTTTGACCTTCATGTATTTATTTAATATTTCATTCCACTTTGATCATTGTGGCTATTTCGCAGTTTTCATCACAAGAATAAGAATATACAGGGTGTTTCATAATTGAATGCTGATCCTAAAGGACGATGATCCTTGGATTATTTCAATGAGAGAAGTTCATATCAACATATGTCCTGAACCTCTTAGTTTTTGAGCTACAGGGTGTCGAAATCAGAAGCGTACAGCGTTGTTTCGAACAAAAAATTCAATATCAGGTCTACGAGGACATCACTGGTAAAAGTAAAAGTTTGATTTTCGTCCCAAAACAAAATGTGTTTCCACTTATAGTGGGTGTCTACTGAATTACCAAAAATAATATCCAAGAACTGAAGGAACAAAATTCTTTGGTTTTTATTTTTTTACGCGAAAACGGTACGTTGTAAGAAAGTAAGTCTAGGAACCAAATTTGCTCAAAAATGAATGGGAATTGAAAAAAAATCTGGTTCTCAGGAAAATCAGTGGCGTACTATTTTTTTCTTCAAAAATTGTCAGTTCAAACCCCGTACGGACGCCACTGGTGAGAACTTTTAAATATCTTTCACGTAAAAAAATGCTCCTTAATAATGAAGAGGTGTATACAAAATATCATAACAATATATAAGAGTGATAAAAAATTATAATGAAAAACAATTTTTTTTCTTGAAATTTCATCATCCTGTAGCTCAATAACTGAGAGGTATTAGGACATATGTTGATATGAACTTTTCTCTTTGAAATCATCCAAGGATTATCGCCCTTAAGGATTAGCATTCAATTATGAAACACCCTGTATATTATGGGAAGATAAGAATAAAAACAAATTGATACCTTGGCCTCTGAATGATCCACATTGCCTCTCACACTGCTCCTCGCTATTAAATCTATTGTCATTGCCGCCACATCCTGTATACGTGAATGGGGCACACCTTGACGTCTCCTGGTCGAAGTAAAAGGCCACGTAGTTATCAGTACAGTTTCCTGAATCTGCTGGTATGAAGCACATCTTCATATCACTTGGAACTGTAAGAAAAAAATATCATGAACGTTTTATAATGGAAGATAGATGTTATGTGGTCGTAGAAACATTCGAATTGATCTTGAGCACTTTGAATTAATTATGGTTTCGGAAGACAGTTTTAATATTTCTAGAAATGCACCGTTTTATATCAAAATTTGACAAATAAATGCAGCAAAACGGTTGGGTACTTTGGATACTGTTAAACAAATGAAAAACCACTCATTATTTTTGTTGGACGAGAGATTTCATTAATAATTCACTAACTTTCAAAATAGAAACTGAAAGTTGGCTTATAGAAAATGCGAAAAAATCGATGATCTGTTTACATCAACTCTATTTTTCTTTATTTTAATTTATTCTCATTATTGTATGAATTGATTATTTGCTTTTAGTTTAATTATTTATCTTATGGAAAAACAATTTTATACGTGAAATACTTCATCTCTTTCACACACAGGTCACTTACCTATGAGAAGGAGAAACAATATGAAATATATATACATGTAATTGATATTCGATGAAAAAATGTAGATTTTACTTGATTCAATAAATGAATAAATAAAAAAAATGTAATACTCCATATTTCGGTAAAACGACATAGGTAAATATACATGCACATTTTTATAATTTAACTTTTTCTACAAGCCCTTAGAATTGTGGTATTTGTCAAAAAATCACGAAGTTGTATTGCTTCAAGATTTTGATAGCAAAAGGAATAAAAATTGTGGACTGAGAAAACTTACTTTGTGGTGGTTGTGTGACTGCAGAAGGTTGGGATCTCCTACATCTCTGTTCGCATGTGTAAATATCCTGGAATCTGTTGTAGTTACCACCACAACCTCCATAATTGAAACGCTGACAAGTATCGCTGGAGGGTTCGTAGTAGTATTGGGGGACAGACGCATTGCAAGTTCCAACAACAGGAGGCAGTGTACATAGATCTAGGAAAAAAACATCAAACTTGGTATTTATATAGTATGCTAACAAATTATGCTGCACGTATAGCGAATCAAGTATCTCTTAGAAAAACATGTTTATATGTCCCTCAAGTCGAGATTTCCATTCAATGGGTGGAAATCTACTATAATGACAAAATCTGCCTCCATCAGGAGATACATCAACCAATGATATAAGCAAAAATTGCATAACTCCTGGAGTCATCTTTTTGGTTTTCTTTGGAATGGTGCATGTAGAAGAAATATCGAAACTTATGTTCCACCCATTACATCTTTGATTTCAGCCCCCTTGAGCAAAAATTGCATAACTCCTGGAGTCATCTTTTTGATTTTCTTTATAATGGTGCATGTAGAAGAAATATCGAAACTTCCTCCCATTACATGTTCACACTTTCCGTTTACTTATTTTTTATGTTCAGGTTCCCACGAAACGGGATATCCTGTATTGTTCAGAGAACATCGTGAGAACCAAGGGAAATGGGGTAGAAATTTTTGTTCTTCTTGAATTTCTGGATGTTATATGCCTCGGGGAACTCCTCCCTTGGCAATGTGTTCCAGAGCCTCGCTGTTCGTTGGATGAACAAGTCTTTGGAAAGAGATGTTCTGAAGGTCTCTAAAGTTACCACGAATGGGTGCGAAGCCTCAACTCGACGGGTTAATCTCGCGAGGTCTGCCAAGGGAAGAACAATTGTTGATATTTCAGAAGAGCATCGTCCATGAAAATATCTATAAAATAGAGCCAGATCGCCAACTTTTCTAAGGTGTTCCAGAAAAATGAGTGAGTTGGTGAGCGAGACATCACCCACGAGACGAATTGCCCTTTTTTGGACAGAATCCAACAGTTTCAGGGTATGTTCGATTGCCGCACTCCAAATATGGGAACAGTATTCCAGGGCAGGTCAGATCAGTGCCTTATATCATAAGCAGCGGACTGGAAGTGAAATAGCTCCTGGCCCGAAACAGAAAACCAAGTTTTTGGGATGCAGTTTTACCAATTGATCTCACGTGATTTCCCCAAGAAAGGTTATTGCTGATAGTGATACCAAGAATCAAAATGGATGTCTTCAAAGGTATGGTTACTCCTGACAAGCTTATTTTGGGCACAGTGAGATCGGCTTTTCTAGAGAAAAGGCATGCTTGTGTTTTGTTTGCATTGAAATCTACCAAGTTATTGAATCCCCATTCGAGAATTGTTGCCAAGTCCATATTTATGTTGTCAACATTTCTTACTCGTTCGTTTCTGATTTGCCTGGCTGGTATATTGGAGCTCTGGAAGAGAAGGCGGTATAGGGGTACTATCATCCGCGAAACTGTGTACTGGACATGAAGTTGCTTCCAACAAAACGTTGATATGGAGTAGAAATAGTGTTGGTGCTAGAACTGATCCTTGCGGAATACCAGCATTTATGATAAGAGAGTCAGATGAAACTCCGTCGACCACTACATGAAGAGACCTGTTTGAGAGAAAACTAGCTAGCAGAGAACATAGCTGGGGAGGCAAGTCATAAGATAGAAGCTTGGCGAGGAGTCCGTGGTGCCAGACTCGATCGAATACCTTGGATATCAAGTGCCACGGCTAAGATTTCACCATATTTTCCAATAGATTGCTGCCATATATGTGAGACGTAAGCGAGCAGGTCACCAGTTGATCTCTGATCGCGGAAGCCATATTGCCTATCGTTGATAAAACCTGAATGTTCCAGGTATTTCATGAGCTCGATGTTGATAGCTTTCTCCAAGATCTTTGAAATAACAGATAGCAGTGCGATCGGTCTGTATATAGTTGCTAGGTAGGGTCTTTTTGCCTTTTCAAGGAACTGGATGTACTCTGGCAATTTTCCAGTTGGACGTATATCTAAATTATCTAAAGTTTCAGCCTCCTCTGTGGGCTCGTACCAAATTTGTGATTTTTTTTTATATCACTTGAAACGCACGAAAGGGGATCTCAATAATGTTCGAAGGACACCTAGGGAGGGTAGGGAGAGGAGGTATAATTATTGGATAAGAAAAGTGCATTTATTGAGTACTGACTAATCATGCCTACATACCTTGAGACACTCCACAGTATCTGAGACAATCATCAGCAGTTTCAAAGTTATTTCTGTTACCATCACATCCTCCATAAACGAACTGCTTACAAACCCCATCGGCACTATCATAGAAATATCTTGGGAAAGCTGCTCTACACTTTCCAGTTTCGCTTGGCAAAAAGCACATTTCTAAAGGAAAAATTGAAAATAACACTGAATTCATAATGATTTGAACTGTTTTTCATTTACCAATCCTAAATGCTTCCACCTGTGGGGGTGGTGTGATCGGTTGTGGTTCGAGTGGTTGTCCGTTTTCGCATCTCTCTTCGCATTTCTGTCGGGATTCGAAGTTGTTACCGTTACCACCACATCCTCCATAGTAGAATTGACGACAAGCTTTATCTCTAGTGTCATAGTACCATCTGTCGACGTAGTTGGCACATTCACCAGTCTCAGCAGGGAGTTGGCAAGTGTCCTTTGCTGAATATCCAGAACAAATTAATCACAGTTGGATATTCCAGAAGAAACCAGCATTACGAAGACGCCAAATGAATGATGAATGAAAACGCCATCTAGTGGTCAAAATTAGAGGTGTAATGCCAAACATTACAGTCCAAATCTACCATTTGGCGTCTTCATAGTGGGTGATAAGACCGAAGCGTTGAGTTGTCCCAATTGTCAGCACACCAACAGCGGCTGGTTGAGGCCTAGTGGACCAAAACTGTATTGTTTTTCTGTTGCTGGAATTACACTGTGTTGTCACAGACCTCAAAAAACTCTTTTAACCATTCAAACGTGTTTTTGTTGCTTATTATGACACATTGCGCTGATCGAAATTGTTGAAAATGACGGTTTGATTGGAACACAAACATTCGAAAAATATCCGGGAATCACTCGGCAACTGCGCTCTGTAGCCACGTTGCACATTGAATCTTCATGGGTGTCAATTAGTAAAGCTTGTATCTTATTTACTCGTTCACATTTATTATTCTGTTGAAGACAAAAGCAATTAGGAATCATTCCATTAGGGCCTCGAGCAAACATGAGCTTCCCAGTGAATTCAAATCTATAAACTCCACACCTTTATTAAAAAAAGGTCAAAAACTGGATACTTTCAAAAAGCAGCTCGTTCATCAACTCATTAACATAAAAAATAGACCTTTTTAATATACAAACATAGTATTTCGGAACTCACTATATAGCTTCCATTCTAATAATCATTAACCCACATTATATAATTTCATAGCCCTGAAGATTTACTTATTGTCGTTACTAAGATAATGGATACAAATATTGTCACACTTAACTCACTATTAGATCCCATAATCTTAATTCTACACTGTTTTCTTGTTTTGATATTATTTGTTTTGTTTTTATACTCACACCTAATTTTGAGACACTAATGTAGTTTTCATAAGAAAAATTAATAAATCACAAGGACATACTGGAATGAATGTAATATAGTCCCAGCCCTGTACAAGAATCTCAGATTCTTTTGTGGGCTTAATCAATTTATTCAATCCAAGGTTTTTCCCCACTCTTATAAACAACAATATGATTATTAATTATATCAAACTGTAGATCATCTTCTCGATAATTGTTGTTTTTAGCTGTGCTCATCTTACTGAATTATTATTATTATTCCACTCATATAAAAAGAAACCAATTAATCATGATTCATGTATGTACTTTGACATCTGGCAACTACGTTTTCAATAGTGGTTTTGAGACCTTAAGACCATTCAGAAAAATAATCAAATTGAAATAATATACAGGGTGTTTCAGACTTAAATGCACATACGATACCTGTAGATAGAGGACACTTCGGTGGTTCCAAATCACCCCCCATCGATTTGTCTAACGTCTTTGATAACTGAGATACAGGACGTTATCTTGATATTGGCAAAATCTTCATCTGGTTATAACTTCTGAACCACTTTGTATAATCTATCCATACTTGGTAGGAATATTTCACTCATATTACCCATCAAAACCAAATGAAAATCCGGATCAGAATCCAGGTCCGTCTTGAGGAAAAACAGAAAACTCCTTTTATCTCAAAAACAACACTCTGTATGGCAAAATTTTATTGATCGGTTTTGATATTTGGAAAGAGCGGAAAAAAATGAATGAAGTGACCTACTTTTTACGAGTGCGCATCCAATTTGAAAGATGGTTTATTATCATGTTTTGAAATATTCAGCTCCATTTCGAGGCATTTTCATTGAACTCATAATTCAAAACCCAATTTTTATACAGAAAAATAACATTCTCCAAAGGACCCCGCACTAAACTATAGAGAAAATGGCTCTCGATTAAAATCGCTGAATTTTTGGTATGTTGCAGACTTTTATATACTGAACAGATATTCCAATGAACAAACCTCAAAAAATGGACAGTTTTTCTGATATTGACCTCCAAATGTCATTTTTTCGAGAAAACGAAAGTATCGGAAAATGTTTGAATTTTTGGCATGTTGTAGATAGGAATGAACTGATGAAAAAATCCAATTGACATAACCTCCAAAAATTGACAGTTTTCTCGATATTGACCTCCAAATGTGATTTTTTCAAGAAATAAAAATTCTGCAAATTGCTGACTTTCTGGTATGTTGTAGATAGGAATGAACTGATGAAAAAATTCAATTGACCTTACCTCAAGAAAAATTGACAGTTTTTTCGACATTGGCCCAAATCTAGTTTTTTCGAAAAATAATCTATGAAAATGTCTGGATCAAGTAGGTTTGTTGTTGATATGATTGAATTGATGAAAAAATCTCATTGACCTGAACTCAAAAAATTGACAGTTTTACTGCTACTGACCCCTAAATGGTATTCAAACAACTGTATGAAAGTTGACCTTCAGAATATTATTCTGTACATTTCCAAGGTCAGGAGAGTCAGGAAAAAATAATGTTTCATCATCATCGACGTTTCGTCCTTCATTATGAGGCATCCTCAGAAATCTATGAGTCAACCTACTAGCAAAATGAGTCAATTAAGTTATGTTGCAGCTTCGATTTTCAAACACATTTTCCTGAACATCCTCATATAGGTGAGGTCAATCAATCAATCAATCAATAGGTGAGTAGATTTTTTAAGTTTGTCAGGTTTTCATTTTATTTTGATATCTTTTTTCATGTCTTTTTTGTGTCATTTTGCCCATCACACACATCATTTTAATGTTTCAATGTACCCATTCTGCTTGTAATTGAAGATTCCTGAATTTTTCGTATGTTGTAGATTGTTGTTGAATATAATTATTGATGATTCCAGAGATGAAATAATAGCAATGGGATTTTTGAAACACTTGCTATTATACTAGTTTTCATACAAGATTGTCAAATTGACACGAATAACTATTTTTCAAAATATTGATAAGACACTCTCAATCCATTGCAAATATTTTATTTTATCCTATAATTTTGAAAAGCTAACCCAAACTTGTTCACTGTCGCAAACCGTTTTCTTTTCATCTCTGTACTACATTTTGTTTATAATTATTGAAATTCACGATATTTCATAACGCGGGACTACGCGTGATGACGTCTTATACCGCGATCAATCCATTGCAATTATACTATACGATACGATTTATGTATTGTGTATACTTCAGTACACAACACTCCACTCCTACTGTGGAAAAAAATCCTCAATCCTATGAAGAATTCGGAAATATTGTCATTGGTTGTTGAGCAATAAAAATCTGAAAGTGTTTATCGGTATCGGTATGTCAATGTCACGTCATCGGCGGCTATAGTGTTGCTGTGAGGTGATTATTTTGATTATTTAAAAGAATATATTTGGTATCATTTTAAGTAATGAATCAGTGTATCTGATACTTTTTAATAGATGAAATGATCAAAATAAAATAGATATATGGCATAAACATAAATACTATTTATTTCATTACATCCTCTCAACAGCAACTTTGTCTATTATTGATTATTATTCCCTTCATTTGGGGGTCCATATCAAAAAACTGTCAATTTTTTGAGGTCAGGTCAATTGCATTTTTTAATCAGTTCATTCCTATTCAGAACATACCAGGAATTCAGCCATTTCCATCAGAGATTTTTTTCTTGAAAAAATAACATTTGGAGGTCAATATCGAGAAAACTGTCAATTTTTGAAGGTTATGTCAATTGGATTTCTTCATCAGTTCATCCCTATCTACAACATGCCAAAAATTCAACCATATTCAGATACTTTTGTTTTCTCGAAAAAATGACATTTGAAGGTCAATATCAGAAAAACTGTCCATTTTTTGAGGTTAGTTCATTGGAATATCTCTTCAGTATATAAAAGTCTGCAACATACCAAAAATTCAGCGATTTTCATCGAGAGCCATTTTCCCTATAGTTTAGTGCGGGGTCCTTTCAACATCATTTGAGTCAAATTAGGTGAACTATCGATAAATTTGTTTGTTTGACGGAATAATTTGTCGATGATTTCAAAAACTTTCGAGGGTAAAGAAAATTGGTAAAGTTATTGTAGGCACAATTATGAACACTTTGAAATGTAAAAACCCAATACAAGCACCAGAAATAATTATCTCAACATTACTAATAACATCACACTAGTGATTATGACCTGTCAGAATATCAGATTTTTTTGCACAGCCTACTTAACCGCAGCTCGTGAATTAATAGTGGAGAATAAAATGAGCCCTCAAAAATGTATGATACCATAGACAAGTGATTCTGTCACAAAAAATCTATCGATAGTTCACCTAATTTGACTCTAATGGTGTTGAACTTTGAAGACTGTTATTTTTTGTATTAAAATTGATTTTTGAATTATAAGTTCAATAAAAATGACTCGAAATGGAGCTGAATATTTCAAAACTTGATAATAAACCATCTGTCAAATTAGATGCGCACTCGTAAAAAGTAGGTCACTTATCTCATTTTCTGCCGCTCTTTCCAAATATCAAAACAGACCTACAGAATTTTACCATACAAGGTGTTGTTTTTGAGATAAAAGAAGTTTTCTGTTTTTCCTCAAGACGGACCTGGATTCTGATCCGAATTTTTATATGGTTTTGATGGGTAATATAAGTGGAATATTTCTACCAAGTATGGACGATTTATACAAAGTGGTTCAAAAGTTATAACCAGATGAAGATTTTGCCAAAATCAAGATAACGTCCTGTATCTCAGTTATAAAAGACGGTAGACATATCAATGGGTGGTGAATTGGAACCACCGAAGTGTCCCCTATCTACAGGTATAATTTGTACATTTAAATCTGAAACACCCTATGTAGAAATGAAAAAAAAACGGTCCACTAGCCTATTGGATATTGGGGCAACCCTTCCAAAATCAACTTTACTACACTTCAAAACTATCAAACGGAGTTAATACACCAACATACAAAATCGACACTTCATTCCATTAGAACAACAGAGTTTAGTTCAAGAGAAGTTCAACATCAAACTCACCAATTGCTTTTGGACATAAACTTTCACATGCTTCTCTACTCTCGAAGTTATTTTGGTTACCGTTACAGCCAGAGAAATAGAATGGTTTACAACGATTCTCGGGAGTGTCAAAGTACCAGTTGGCTTGTCGTTCTGTGCAATTACCTTGGGCCATTGGTAACGAGCATTGATCTAATTCATACACAGGCTGTTAGTCAAGTAAAATATACCATAACATGAAGATGCAGTGATGAGAGAACGTGAGTTTAGATGAACAGGCATAATTTTCCAGTTGAAACAAATTGATCCCAGAAATATCAGATACATGTAACATTTATAATTCATATTGTGATGTCAAATAAGTCTCGGAATTAGAATTGAATAATTTCTTTTTCATCATCACAATTGATTCACTTTGTTTCATCGTCAACTGAATGAGATGATTATTGCGAATTTTTCGTCAAATAAACGATCCCTTGGCAATATTGATCATAATTCCCTTGGAAATGGTTAGACATTCCATGCATTGTGTTGGCAGCAGTTACAGTCGACGGATAATAGTTATTTGTTTAACTAGGCAGCAAAGTAGTAGATTGACTGCCTTAGCTGGATTCCTAGCCTCGCACTTTGCTGCCGAGTTGAACATATAATTTTTTCTCCGATTGTTCATAATGATATAATAATATATCTCTTTATTTTTCCTGTAGTGTTCAATTAAAATAAAATTTGATAGAAATCGCAGTTGTTGGAATGGTTGGATGCTATGGAAATGTCCATAATAATTATAGTTTGACAATTCATGAAATTTCTGACAGTTGTGCGATAAAAATATTGGTATATTTAAATTATTATATAATGGAAAGTGATAGCGACCTGGAAGTACTTACACCTCCAGAAATGAGGGAGGTGGCATAAAATATAGAGTTGAATTTGTTGCCGGAGAAGTCTCGAATGAAATATGAAGGAAATTATAAACGATTTATGGATTATTAATTTTGCTGATACATATCAATCAGCAAAGTAACCACTTTGCTGCCTAGGCAGGAAAAGTAATACTTTGCTGATTGATATGTGTCAGCAAAATTAATATTTGCTGCCAATCGGAGAAAAACACATTTTATGTACATGCCCTGCAGAGGCCAGAATCAGATTTTTAACATTTGGCAACAGTATAGGGCCAGAAAACCTGATAAATTGTTTTCCCAACGTACTCCTTAATTTCGCCAAGATATTAATAGATATACTGGGAGAAAATATAACCATAGGGTGAGCCATAATCGGCCATTGGCCTAACATGGACCCACTCACGTTTAACCTTAACCTTAACCTTACAGTCAAATTGGGTGTCAATTATTGTAGAATGCATTCCTTTTCTCAATGTCAATTATCATTAATTTGAAAAAGAAAGGGTCTTATTTCCAATGCTCACTAGTACTGGCACTGGTGGGGGACGTTTGCACGTCAGCAACTAGTCCCTAGTGGGACTTTTTGCAAGCCCCAAGGTGTTTTTAATGAGTGATGTGATTCGCTAAAGAGAGCTGGCTAAAACCGTTCTCAGCTCTCTTTCAGAGTTTTTCGGTTGTCTTTTGTAGACTAGTCATGTACTCACTACCATATGCTGCAGTGGCAGGACTGCTAGCTACCTCGTTAAACCTCGTTAGAGGAGGTCCACTAAGCTGTCACGCTCAGCGGGTAGTTTTTCCACACTCACCTACATACATCGTCCTGCTTCTTCTATGATGCTCACAACCACATCATCATATCTTTCTGCGTGTTCTGTGTAGGCTTTGTTACTAACTCCATGTCAATAAGAACGCTACAGAGAATCGTGCAGGACTATCCTCAGCCGATGCTCCGAAACTGCAATATTCAATTCGTAAATGAAATATTGAAAAAAGTTCCGTGCCCTGGCTGGGAATCGAACCCACGACCTCGCGGTCGTGAGGCGAGCGCTCTTCCACTGCGCCAATCCCGGCTCCTTTCCAATGATCAAAAATTCAACAGTTCTTGATCTGATCGATATACAATGATTCTGACATTTGCACCAGTTTTATCCACAGTTGACTGTTGAGTTTGGCCAACCCCACAAAACAAATGTCTAACCCTTGAGAACTTGGTCAATTCACAGACATGAATACAACATATACCAGGGATCTTTATGCTTCCTGAGATGGTAATTAAACATTAAAATATTATTAGAAGATCACATGCTAGGAAAACTATATCGGTAATAAAACATTAGGTAGGTAACTGTCTGTTAGATCTCATGCTAGAAAAGTACTGATTGTGCAATACATTAGGTACGACATTATACCTTTCTTTTCACCAGGTGTAGCACATTGTTGCCTGCAAGCCTCAATAGTAGGGAAGTTGTTTTTATTCCCTTTGCAACCTCCATACACGAAAGGTTGACATTGACCAGTCTCTTCATCATACCAATACCTTTGGTACTGTCCATTGCATGGACCTGCTTCTTGTTTTTGTTCACAAGGATCTGAAAGTGCAAAAATCATTAACCCGTTACAATAAGTCAATTCCAATAATCTTACCTGGGCTGCTATCGGTAACACATTGGTTGAGGCACTCCTCCCTGCTTTCGAATTTATTATTATTACCAAGACAACCCCCATACACGAACTGAGCACAGTTCTTCAAGTCTTTATCATAGTACCAAACAGGGTAATAGCCTTCGCATGGACCAGCCACTTTAGGCAAATTGCACCTATCTGAAAATCACATCTATAACTATTGGAGTCTCATGAGTTGATAAGCGATCTCACCTGTTCCTTCAGGCTTAACACAAACTGATTCGCATTCTTCTTTAGACTTGTAACGGTTCTCGTTACCATCACAACCTCCATACCAGAATCTTGAACAGCCACCATAGTCCATATCAAAGAACCATTTAACCGTGTAGTTCCTGCATGTTCCCCTTTCCTTTGGAATAGAACACCCGACCTGTAGATTTTGAGGAGCAGTTTCACAACCCTCATAGTTTTCTCCTTTAGCTTCCGTAAGCCCATCAATACAACAGCCGTATTTGCTGTTTTCACAACCACAACCTTCCATATTCGGTCCAGAAGCTGGAGTTTGTTCATCAGAGCAGCAACCGAATTCAGTGTTTCTACATCCACAACCTACAAATACAGTAAGCGAGATAGCATGAATAGTTATGCAGATACTTGCCATATTCCTTATGTAAGCTATTGAATGAGTTCGTTGACATTAATATCAGTTTGACTGACTACTATCCTTACTATGAAAGACACAACTTAATGACTCACCTTGTTGGTGAGGTCCTCTGGCAGTTGTTATTCCATCTGGACAACATCCAAATTGGAATGTATGGCACAAGCATCCCTGGAACTCTGCTCCACTGGCAGGCGTCAAAGCATCAGGACAACAACCGAATTCGCTAGACTGGCAGCCGCAACCTTCATTATCGTAACCTCTTGCAGCAGTTGTATTGTCTGGGCAGCACCCATAAGGAGAATATTGGCAGTCGCAACCTTCCATATTAGGTCCCCTTGCCGCAATGATATCATCAGGACAACAACCAAACGGCGTTGCCAAGCAACATCCTTCTCCGCTTGGTCCATGGGCTGGAGTTCTTGCATCCTGGCAACATCCAAATGTGCTATTAGAGCATGGAAGATTGCAGCCTCTGTATCCAGGGCCTGCGGCAGCAGTCGTTCCATCAGGGCAACACCTGTAGGTCATGTTCCTACAGTCCTCAGTTATAGCTTCTGTAGTTGTTTCCATGATAGTTGAGTCAGTTGAGCTTGATTCTTCAGTTGCATCACTGTACTCCGTGGTTGATTCTGTCGTGGACATGATTTCTTCTGTTGTCGTTATTTCGGTTTCTTTACATCCTTCGTGGTCAGGACCAGTAGCTTCAGTAACATTATCATCACAACAACCGTATTCGGAGCTGAGGCAAATTGGAGGACAACCTTCATTGTCATTACCTTCTGCAGGAGTTCTTTCATCGGGACAACATCCAAAGAGCGTTTCGTTGCAGTGCAGACTGGGGCAACCAGCAAATTTGGGCCCAAGTGCTGCCGATACCTCATCTTTGCAACAACCGTATTTTGACATCTTGCACGTATGGGGAGTTGGACATCCTTTGTCGAATGGACCCTTTGCAGGTGTGATGTTATCCCAGCAACAACCATATTTCGTTTTACTACAAGTCCTGAGCTTCCTTCTCTTACACATGCGTGGTTTTTTGGTGAAGATATCGATGATTCTAGATTTGCCATAATCATCTGTGATCGCCATTTCTTCTGTGGTGCTACTGAATATGTCACCAACTGTGGTACCGGTATATTCTGTAGTTGATTCAGTACTTCCTGTATATTCTGTTGTCATTTCAGTAGATTCAGTGCTACCACTGAATTCCGTTGTACTTTCAGTAGATTCAGTGCTACCCGTGAATTCTGTTGTACTTTCAGTAGATCGTTCACTCGTTGAACTCATCTCTGAGGTGCTGGAGCTCATTTCGGAACCTGTGAATTCTGTAGTTAATTCGGTACTACCTGTTAACTCCGTGGTCGATTCGGTACTACCTGTGAATTCCGTAGTTGATTCGGTGCTACCTGTGAATTCCGTAGTTGATTCGGTACTACCTGTATTTTCCGTCGTTAATTCTGTACTACCACTGACTGGACTAGTACTAGTACCCTCTGATTCAGTACTGCCATCAGGAGTTGTACTTTCGCTAAACTCGGCTGTCTCTATAGTGCTATTATTTACTTCTGTTGAACCTGTGGATTCTGTGGTACTTCCACTTTGTTCTGTCGATTCAGTACTTTCAGACACAAGTGTGGATGGTTTCACTGTAGTCGTCTTGACAACATTTTCTGGTTCACCAATGAAGAATATGGTAGTACTCTCTCCAGTTACCCCTGTCGGTGTTGAAGTAGGGGCATCTGTGTCTTCACTTTCATTTGTACCAGGACTATCGGAACCAGTTTGATCCGAAACAGATTTTGTTGATCCTATTTCCGTACTACCTGTGAATTCCGTGGTTGATTCGGTACTACCTGTGTATTCCGTGGTTGATTCGGTACTACCTGTGAATTCCGTGGTTGATTCGGTACTACCTGTGAATTCCGTGGTTGAATCGGTACTACCTGTATTTTCCCTCGTTGGTTCTGTACTACCTTCTGAGGAATCTGCAGAACTTCCACTGACTGGACTAGTGATTTCAGTGATCTCAAATGAGACAGTAGAACCGTCTGAGTCAGTACTGCCAAGAGTTGTACTCTCACTAGACTCGACTGTCTCTATAGTGCTATTATCTACGTCAGTTGAACCTGTAAATTCTGTGGTACTTCCACTTTGTTCTGTTGATTCAGTAATTCCAGAACCAAGTCCGGATGTGCTAGAACCATCGGAACCAGTTTGATCCGAAACAGATTCAGTAGATCCTGAAATATTTGAGTCTGATACTGTTGGCTCAGTGTTGGCCTCCGATCCGGAGCTCACTGATGTAGTCACTTTAGAGGCTGAACTAGGGCCAGATATTGTCGTCATGCCAGATGCCCCACTCTCTGTGGTTAGCCCAGTTTCTGATGTGTCACCAGTAACAGTTGTTTCACCAGTTTCGGTGGTAAACTCTGTTGTAGACTCGGAAGCTACACTAGACTCAGAGCTCCAGCTCGATGAGTAAGTGGATTCAGTTCCTGATCCTTCGAAATCAGTAGTCGTCTCTCCTGAACCGAATTCATCTTCTTCGATAAAAACGATAACACCGTCCCCCATCATCATGTCATCCGAAGAGAAGAGTGTCTCTCTTTTCTTGCTAATGTGTTCCTGGGCCTGATCTTTTTGTGGTTGTCCAGTTTCGTCGGTTTCGACCCATTCTCCATCATCACAATTTGTGTCGGGTACTATTTCGTATTCTTCGTCTTCATCCGTTGATGGCGGGCTTGTTAGCTCCACAACACTTGTCGAATCTGTTGAATCTGTTGATTCCGTAATGACAGAAACATCGGTGGAACTTCCATCTGCTGTCGGTTCTGATTCGTCCACCGGATGAGTAACGTCAGTTGGTATTATAGTATCTATAAACTAACGATAATAAATAATTGTGCATGAGAATGTTTCATACTGGTACCTTCGGAACAAGGATGGTTGTTACATTCCTCTTGTGAAAACACGATTGTTTCAGAACCACATAGGTCTGGGCTTACTACTTGGAAATCTTTGATGCATACGACTTTTTTGGTACGTTCCCCTCCCCCACAGGATTTCGAACACTAGAAAACAAACGAATTCTTGCATCATGGAATAACGAGGAGTATGTTGGGAAATTACCTCTCCCCAAGGACCGCTGAACCATTCGCCTTCACAACTTTCTTCTTCTCCAGTGCAGTTTTTGATGGTTTCAAAGTGCTTTGAAGGGTCACATTGGGCGTCCTCGACTTTGAGGACACCATCAACGGTGGACACGCCACAAAATATAGTTCTAGTCTGAACACCGGCGCCACAGGTTACTGAACACTAGAATATAAAGTTCGATTCGTGAATGAGAAGGCATGGGTGAATCGTTGATGATTTTAGTCACCTCGCTCCATTGAGATGCGTACCACAAATATTGGCAGGTAGCATTGGTTGATTCGCATTTTCGGATTGTCTCTGGTCTCTGGTTTGCTTCACACAGTTCGTCATCTTGGAATTCTCCTTTCTCAGTGGCACAGTGGACTTTTCTTGTTTCGTTTTTCAGTCCGCAAATCCTATCACACTGAAAAATAAAATGTTTGTACGCACCCTAGGAAAATTAATTTGTAATAATTGTCTTACCCCACTCCATTCAGATGTTATCCAATCAACACCTTCGCAAGGTCTGATTCTACATTTCTTGCTGATTTCTGGTTTTGGTTCGATTGCTTCACATTCTGAATCTTCCAGCACTTCGATTTTGTTATCTTTCTTTATGAAGCATTGAACCTTTCTCGTTTGCTCACCATCTCCACATAGGTGATCGCACTGAGAGTATTTCCAAACGAATGAGAATAAGTGGCAAAATTAAACTTTCTTACGGAATTATTAGAGAGATATTACTTGTTCAGCATGATTCAATCTATATAATACTAGATTTTCACAACATTTCACCGTAGACAAGATTTCAATGTAAATGATGCGGGGTCCTTTATTTCAATTGTCAAATTAATTGAGAAAAGACTACTGGTACTAACTATGATGAAAGATCCCCAGATATTGATGCTGATACTTAACTGATAATGGAAACCTTTAGAGAATGGGAATTCTCAATATATTTCTTTATACCGGGTGTTTCTCAAAAGTGACTCACCCCTATAACTTTTTTGTTTCTACAGATAACCAAATGAAATTCACCTTGTATGTATAGTTCATAAATATGCATTGATAGGCGTATTCAATTGTTTTGTTTTCCTATTTCAAATGGGACACCCGGTATACTCTTACTTATTTCGATAAAGAATTACATTGTGAGTACGATGACATCTGATTTGCCACTTTTTGACATTTATCATTCTGAAATTTTCATTTCTCAATTTTCCACCTAGAGTGAATATGATACTAGATATTGATTCAAAATATCAAATTATGTGGTATCAACGTATTTGAAAAAATTGAGTTAACATCATAATTATTACGATATTGAGAATTTTCAATCGACCTGTGAAACAAATGGAAAGTAAAATTCCATCGAAAATATGTTTCTTTGGCAACTTGGTTTCAATGCAATTGTTTTAACTCATTCATGGCACTCTAGATTGAAAATTGAGAATACAAAATACTCACAATGATATTCTCTATCGAAATAAGTAAAAATATGCACAGTTTCATTCAAAAATAAGAAAATGAGGGCCATTTCGGGTCAAACCGGAAGTCACATAAACAATTGAATAAGTTAAATAATGCATATTAATGTACTATACTCACACAGCGAATTTCATGTGTTCATCTGTGGGCCAAAAAAGTTGAAAGGGTGAGCCACTTTTGAGAAACGCCCGGTATATACAGTGTGACCCACTTCTAATGGAACCACCCCTGTATCTTACGTAATCGTTGGGTAAGGTTCCTGAAATTTGCTAGAGCGAGAGATATACCAAAAATGCACTCTATGACCAAGTGGGGTCATCTTCAGTGATATACACTGCTCGCCAACAGCCATGAAACCACCCCAGTTTCCGGAAAATGATATTAGGAGTCAAAATAGGTTGAAAATCACGTCGGATTCGGAATCAGGACGCCCAAGTTACTAACTATTCAGAGTTTTCCTAGAAGATTTTTAGTTCAGTAAAATTAAAATTTGTCTCACTTCTCATGGAAGCACACCCGTATCTCACGTTATTATTGAGGTACGGTTCTGAAATTTGCCGGAGGAAGAGAAAGTCCAAAGATAAAGTCGATTACTTGAGATACGGGGGTGCATCCATAAAAAATGCGACAAAATTTCATTTTTCCGAACTGAAAATTTTCTAGGAAAAATTTGAATAGTCAGTAAATTGGGCGTCCTGATTCCAAATCTGAAGTGATTTTCGACCTATTTCGACTCCTGATATCATTTTCCGGAAATTGGGGTAGTTTCATGGCTGTTGGCGAGCAGTGTATATCACTGAAGATGACCCCACTCGGTCATAGAGTGCATTTTTGGTATATCTCTCGCTCCAGCAAATTTCAGGATCCTTACCCAACGATTACGTAAGATACAGGGGTGGTTCCATTAGAAGTGGGTCACACTGTATATCCATTTTTTTATGTTCATAATTATATCTGAGAATATTCCTTTTCAATACTTTCACCCACTCAAGGGGTTCAAACTTGAACGATGGAAACTTGTTATAGACCTCAATCGCAGGTTCGTGATTTGGTTTTCTCAACTCAGAAACTTTTTCCCCTTAATGTCTGATGAATATCAATTTATCATACATAAAAAAAAAGAAAAAAAAAAACGTCTTAACTCAACATTCATTAATTTCATCGTCTTCCCCCTTAGTTCTTCATAATATGACTTATGGTGGTACTCACCGGCTTCCAAGGCCCCGAGAACCACGTGGCGCACACTCTGCCCACGTTGCACCGCTGTTGCGTCGGCGGCTTGACAGCGCCGCTAGCAACGCACTCGCTGTCCTCCGCCAGCGTCGGCAGCCCGTTGGACACGATCTGCTGGCACGTGACGTCGCGCGACTGCAAACCGCCGTCGCCGCACGGCGCCGAGCATTCTTTCCAGGGGTGCGGCACCCACTGCGCGGCGCACGCGATCTCGTTGCAGCGGCGCTTGGCTTCGGGTTCGGTGTTGGAGTCGCAGAGAGAGCGATCGACGGGATCTAAGGAGGCGCGGCCGGCGCAGGTGACGTTGCGGAATTGATAACCTTAAAAACTCAAAGTTGTTCGACCAAAAATAACCAGTGGTGAGAAGGGGCTACTACTAGTGTTCGGAATACTGACGTGTGTTCAAGAAAATTTCGGCAGAAGTGGACGTAGACCAATTTCCATATGCTCGGATAGCAAAGCTGCTATTATGGCAACCAGATGACGAATGATCACTTCACTGTGACTTCCCTCATTGGTGATTTTTCGTCAGAGACGTCACACACCAATTTATGACGTCACTATGACGTACTTTCTATGACGTGATAATCACGTCATCGTTTCGACGTCGAGTGAACGTCACTTAGAAGGGTAAAAGAAGACGTCAATTTCATGACGTTGCAGGGACGTCCTGTCGACGTCCATTTTTCCCAGACCTTCTCTAAACCATGGATACTTATATATTATCATATGAAACAGAAGTATAACTCACGAAAGCAAATCAACATGCAAGTTTTATTGGCATTATTAATATACTCGAGTAATAGATAACTTTTTTCTAAAAAACTTTGACACACTGTATATCTCGGAAACCAACAAGCTATGTATATATATACAAATGATTGTTTAGGTATACCTATATTCGAACCGTTACTCTTATGACGTTGCAGTGACGTATCTATGACGTCTAAAATCACGTCAGTGTGACGTACCAATTTGGTGATAGCTTCGTCATTCAGGACATTTTTCAATAATTTGCTATTTAGATTTTTGTTGGGTGACAAAGAATGCATCAATATACATTATTCAACAAAGTGAAGCTAAATTCGCCAACATCCTGTCCATTGCTATCAAACTATTCTTTGTTTGTTTACATCTTGCCGACACAAACTACATAATTTTTGATACAAATACGAGTGACTGATTGCATTCTGATGGAGATGCGTATACTGAAGAATAGCGCTGCTGAATAGGCGATTGAATGAACATGACACAGGAGGGACCCACCAAGCAGACTCAACAATGTATAATCAATATTATATAATGTCATCAGAGACCAGTGGTGTTTATCACACCATGTTGAAGGAATCTTTTTTACATATCATCGCCAAATTTAATCGTCATTTTGACGTCATTATGACGTCAGTCAGACGTCACAGTTTGGTGAGTGAATAACGTCAATACGACGTGAGTAATATGACGTCATTGGGCTGTGACTTATTCACGTCATTATCACGTCATGTGACGTCAACTACTGACGTCACCTTGGTCATTCAAGTGACGTAAAAAAGACGTCACTGGAACGTCTTCTGGTTGCCTGGGATATATTATGGCATTGAGATCCAATAGAATCACAACTAAATTGGTGTGCGACTGTAGAAGTGCCTTGGAAAATATGGCAAGACTAGGAAAGTCAGCCTTAGGACACTCGAGTATCTCTGGGAACGAGGAGGCAGACAGACTAGCTAAGATCGGTTCAGGAACGACACCCATTGGACCAGAATCGATATCGAATACCCAAAAGCATGGTAATGTCCTGTATGGAGGAAATTCTACATATACAGTTTCTTGAAACATAGCGGAACACACCAGGCATGAGCTCCATTTGAAGGAACCTTCAAAAATACTCACTCAACAGAAACAGAAGAGATCTCAAGATGGTAGTTGGGCTCCTAACTGGACACAACCACCCCGAGAGGCACCTGGAGCTCATAGGGATAAAAGATGGTCCCATCTGCAGATGGTGCTCGAAAAATTATGGAACATAATCGCACATACTTACTGAATGCCCCGCGCTGGTGCATCAGAGGAAAGATTCCTTTGGGAGCATTGTATTGCACTCATATAGTATGTGTAAGTGATTCAGCTGAGGAAGATGCTTGAATTCGTCAAAGAAATGCCCAGCTGATTCATAGGCCATGTGGGCGCACAATGGGCTCGACTGAAGATGCCTGAGTGCAAGGAAATAGGCACCCGCCCAACCGTGCAGGGAAGAATATGATAAGAAGATAGGGACTACTAGTAACAATGTGTGTAGTGAATTGTACCAATCGTACCTGTATTCTCCAATTTTCACTTTCAAATTCAAGCAGCATATGCTGCATGGAGCACACCAAAGTGAATGAATGACGTCGGAAGTTTTCATCAAATATTTCGTCGATATAGTTAAGTGGTACTCCAAAAAATGAAGTCTCATTGAAACTACACAGTGTGTCGATTGGAATATTTGATCACCTAGAGGAAATTTGAAATCAAGCAAAAAGATGTCAACTTCATTGTTAAGGGGGAAATTTTGTGAGCTGGTTTGAAACTGATTTACTTCAACCTTGAAGAAGGGATGAAAAGAACCACTGAAATGTTGAATAGGAAGGCCGTTCAACTATCTTTCCAACTTCTACTTGAACTTTCTTTTTTCAATTGAAAATTGATATTCTTCGCCTAGTACTCTCTTATCTTATAAGTAGTTACGATTTACTAGCTTGTGGAAGAAATGTCAAACAAATACTCAGAATAGAGACTAACATGTAAATTCTGATTTTATTTCGCCAGATTTCGAAATTATTTTGTAATTGTGAGCTGTTTGTGTATTCAGCAAATAAACTCATAGTATAAACGAAATAATTCTAGGAGTGTTCGCTCAAAAATTGCTCTTTCTGATGAATTGACATTGTTTTTTCACACAAATTTTCTTTTCTAGCTACGAAATAATGAGGGAAATAAAAAATAACCCGCTCAGAATTGGTAAACACATGCAGTCTAGATATTTGCAGGATCATAGGAATAGATGAATAACAACTGAATTTATTGTTGAAATCTCAAAATAGGTGGAATCTATGAATTGTTGTTGTCCAAAGTTTTTTTTTTATAGTTTTCATTTGGGAGCTTCAGAATGGATGAACTTCTTCGAAGCAGCAGCAATATCTTCACTATAATAAAAATAATAATAATATAGTGAATGATAAGCCAAGGGCCAGGTCGATTCATAAACATTGAACCTTCGAACGATTCTTAACTTTGAAAACGTATCCACAAAACGGAACTGTGCCGAAATAAAGTATAGAGTATTTATTATTAATCAATCTCAATTGTGCACTTTACTTACTCAGCTAACGTCTCCTGTTGCCAGCATTATGGAAATAAATTTTATGAGACAATGTTTATCTAAATGAATCGTGATTTCCTCACAAAAGCTTATACAAAACAATGTTCAGCTCACCTCCACCACATGTAGCTGAACAAGGTGTGAACTCGTCATAAGTCCATGCATACGTATCTTCACTTGGTGGTGGTATATTCGTCGGTAAACTGTACGAGTAACTGATTGGCACTTCCGAGTCTTGATACAAGAGCTAAAATGACCACATCAAATACCGCATATCCACCAATGATACCTTATATCTTCTTGTACTCACCACCATGAACAAGGATTCTTCTGTTGGTCCCAAGCAAGTGACCACATCTGGGGCAGCGAACTCTTGGGGGTTTCTTTCGTATTTGAACCTGCAGCCTGCAAAATCTAGTGACCTAGGGAAATCGATCCTCCAGTTACCGTTCAGATAGTAGTAGCCGGTTTTATTACGGACAGCTAAAAAAAATTTCGAAAGTTCCTAAACAATATAATGTGGCGCTGAAGAATTCGATTAAGTATTGTGACAATGCATCAATTCCAATTCATGTAGAAGTTAACCTGATGTCCAAATGACTATGTAGTCAATCACTAAAGGTTCCTAATTATTTTGAAGACGATCGTCTACACTATAAGTCTGAGCGCCCCTGTTTCATATCAATCGAATTCATCAGCTATAATAATACATTTTCACATTCCTAACCCATCAAGTAATCTTCTTCGTTCACGCAATAATATAAGCTCTTCAACTATGTCTTACCGAGATAATTATTCGAAGGAGCCAACTCTTCAACTCGAATATTCGTAGCTCCAGCAGGAATCAGCAAAATATCGTTATAACCTAAAAATAAAATGAATCACAATTGAAACATCATACGATCAGAATATTCAACTTTCAGAAAGAAAATGGCAACAGTGTCCTTACCAACTTGCATGTCTTTCATTTGAATCGTATTGGAAAAAGTGTTACAGCTGGTTCCGTCCCCCCCACATACACGGCACTGGTCTTCCCTTGCGTTCGACCCCAACATCCTGTCGCATCCCACTGTCTACAAAAAAGTTATTTTTTTAACATCACCATCACTATTAGACCGGAATCCTACAACGTGTTTTTTGTATCTCATTTGTACATACATTTTTTTACACTCAGCATTCGTCTTTTATTCCGTTATTTTGAAAATTCTTTTTTTTTTCGCCATTCACATAAAACAGGTCCAATCATCATATGTAGGCGATATCGAGAAATTTCGGATAGGAAGTGATAACACCATTTGACTCTATACAACTTCACCGACCACCCTCGTCCCCGATTCTCGACTTCAGTTGAATTCATTCCAACTGGTAAAGCTTCCCATGTTCGTAATCCCGTGGGAATCTTGAAGAGTATTCTCGACCACGATAGGAATGCTATTTCCCAGTGGAATTGAAAACACGGTATGTCGGTGATAGTTTATGTGCTCAACCAATCAGATATTGATATTTTCCAGGGACATTCTTGTTTTGATTTACAACGATCCAAAGATTTCAGTTGGTAGTGGTGTATGCATGGTGAAATTTAGGTTGTTTATAAAAAAATTGCAAAGAAAGAATTAGGAAACATTTTTTTCATAAGGAAGCAATTATACTCTAATCATGGAAGAGAAAAAAAAGTGGACATATGTCTGAATGTCTATTTTGTACCTGAATAAATAGTTATTCAATTCTTTTTGAATTTCCTATCAGAACTCTAGTTAGTTTAGTTATTTACTATAAAAAATAAGTCAGATACAAAAATATACCATACATGAAGAAAGCTGCTCATCTATGAATTGGTTCAGTGTGTTTGAAAATCGTATATGATGAGATCTACATTCAAGAACAGCACAAGTATCAATTCATATATTTCGATAAAAAATAATCAAACAAAGTAATTCCAAATTATTTGACGTTGCGACCTCCTTCCTTCTTGTAAATCAGCATTTTCATATCTTAATCAACAATGAATCAATTATACAGTTCCATACTTACCCCAATTTTTTTTGGCAGTGCTGATTCTCTGGTAGGACGTGCTTAAAAATTATGCAAGTTTTGGATGATATTCAGTGCTAAAGGTTTTGTTAATCTGAATAACTTAAAAAAAATGTATCTGATAACACATCAAATGGATCTCCATTTTGCAAATTTGTCCATAAATCTCTTCCTTGGTTTCCGGCTATTTCTTCAGCCATTTCAACAATGTCTTGTTGAACCAGAAGTATCAGCTCCTCATGTTTAGATAGTTTGATAACATACTTTTTATATTATACCTAGTACAATGATAATTCCAACTTCAAACTGGACTTCGTGTGGAGAAACACTAAGTGAATATATACCACTGAAATTCATAGGACCACTTTCCAGCGACAAATGTCGAGAATACTAAATCATAATTCCTATGAGAATTTGATCACTTTTCCCATGGGAAAAACGTCGAGAATCGATCAACGTCCACGGGAAGGTGGAATTAGGAGGGTTCTTATGATGGTGAGTGTGAACAAATGAACAAAAAAAACACGTTGTGGGCTCCCGGTCTATATTATGCTTTAGCAAATCGAAGTAGCCCTTCAGTTCCGTGATTTGCTGTACTATTTTGTCTTACCTGGCATTTTCCACTGACGCAAACATCGAATTTTTCGTCGTTGCATCTTGTGCCATCGACAACTGCAGTGGCATGTCTAAAATAAAATCTCTCGCCTTTCGGCATGCAATTGAGTTCACATTCGTTAGGGGCTTTCGTATAAGGCACCCACCTAGAATAACATTATTATTATCAATTGATGAAACAATTTCAACTGTAAACTCAAATCTGATGAGACTCCAAGTGTATAATATGAATTATTGGTGGGCAAAGTATGATTGAATGGATAAAACTAATATCGTCCACCAAATTCGCAAGTCGATCAAGTGAAACAAACCAACAAGGAGAAAATGTATGATCAAAGTCATCCCGACAATTTTCAATGATGTTGTTTAACAATTATTATTGGGAACATGTTCCATACTTAAAAATGTCCATCTCCAGCCCAATCATAACTTCCAGAATAGAAAGAGCGATTGGTATAAAGAAAATAACCAGTATTTGGAGTTGCCAAAAACGGGTATTTCATATAGCATTATTCGCTAATATGTTGATAAACCGAATAATGGACTTGATTTTGATTCGGAAGAATTTCACTCAAACTGTTGATAATGTGACTATTTCATTCATTTTAAAATTCTCAGATAATGCAAGCCAAAGCCAACTTGTATGATCTCAAAAATACTAGCTGCTGTGTTTCGATTCCGATTTGTCTATCAGCATTGTTGTTTTCAATGATGTAACCATCTGTTCTGAATATCATCTCATAATTATGTCTCTCATTGATAACTCAATTGTGTTGCTTGCCAACATACATTACGTGAACAAAGCGACAAAATCATCTCGAATATTCAGTGCACTAGTTATGTGATAATTTCTTGCCAAATGCTGATTGAACTATAACTTATAAATAACTTATAGTTTTGGCGGAGATGTTGGTAACTTGCAAATCTGGTGAAGGAACTCGATCTTGTCCATCATTATTATTATTATGTCATACAATCGCATATAAACATGGTTATTTGATGAATATTACAATACTTACTGATAGGATACTCCTTCGAAAGGAATATTGTCATAGCTTGCACACTGCTGTGCCCTATAGTCTGCTATGTCTGGACAATCCTGCGAAAATGGAGAGATTTCAACGATACCATATGCCAGTAACATTTTTATCATGATCAGATGGACTCACAATAAGTAAATTACATTCATAAACCAAATCAAAGATAGTATAAGATTCATCTCTCCAGAATTTCAGTATTAATTCAATATATTATGTATGGTGAGGAAAAATCAAATAATTTGACCGTAAATATCCCTGCTTTTGAAAAATTTGACTATCAGGAAGAGCCTAAAATGTGGAGTCATCGATAGTCATGCAGTCATCAATTCCACCAACCTTGAGATAGTGTATTCATAAAAAGCGGGACACCTTCCTTCGAAACAATGTGTCAGTGACTATTGATGGAATCTTTTCCAGGCTATCATATTTTAATTCATAGAAGTAAGGAGAGAAAACCCAATCAAAAAAATATACATAATGTTATACATACAATTATGAAATGATGATAAGATAAAAGATGATAACAAGTAAAAAAAAATGCAAAAAATCATCAACGTCTGTGAGGCAGATATTTTTCAAGTTTTAATTTTGAGTTTGGTTGCTTCCTGTATATTCCTCAATTGACTTGGTAATGAGTTGTATAGAACGATTCCTGATGTGTGAAAAATGGATTGTTTGCCGATATTTGTCTTATACGTATTTGCTTTTAGTAAATTGGATAGTCTTGTTCCTTGATTAAGTAATGAATTAATTTCATTTAAATTTATATTCGAAATTTTTTATTTATATAGGACAAATTGAATAAAACAACATATTTTAAGTTTGTATAGTGATGTCAGATTTGATGAATCTCTAGGTTTGTATAAATTCATGGTTGGTTCTAGAAAATTCAATTTGAAAATACACTTCAATGTTTTATTTTGTTATTTCATTAGTGGACTCAAACGTGGAATATTGGTACTTCCCCATATAGATATTAGGAATTGAAATTTCGAGAAAATAAGAGGGAAATAAATACTTTCAAGTATCTAGTAGAAATGAAATTTCGTATTTTGAATAAAATGCGTGTAATGGGATTAAGTTTGTTTCTCAAATGATCTATATGTTTATTCCACAATAGTCGTTCATCAATATAAAGACCTACCAATTTTGTAACATCTGTATATTTGATGAGTTTATTGTTGAAGGATAGTGTTCTATTCGAAATGTTCAGTGTTCTTCTTGCTATGTACATATATGAGGATTTGTTATAATTGAGAGATAGTTTATGAACTTGGTACCAAGAGGATACTTTCTCTAAATCACTTTTCATGTCCATGATAATATTATTTGAATCTTTGGAGAAAAAAATTAATGTCGTGTCATCTGCGAATGTTTTTCTCTCAATTCCAAGTTTGATATTGAATTTATGTAGATTAAAGATAAAACTGGTCCCAAGACTGACCCTTGCGGTACACCGCATGAGATGTTCATTAAGGAGCTACAAGTATCACTCACATCAACATATTGTTTTCTATTTGATATATAATTTTGGAACCACAATCATGAATTCTTCCTCTGACACCAATTGCAGATAATTCATTATATAAAATGTTATGGTTGACTGTATCAAAAGCTTTGCATAGATCTAATGACAATAAACCGTATTGATCATTTTCATCGATTCGTATTTGGATATCTGAAATAACATCCATAACGGCTACTTTAGTGTCTTTCGATCTACGTAATCCATACTGACCACTTTATAGCAAATTGTTATTTTCCAGGAAATCACGTAGACGATAGTTCATAATTTTTTCAATAACTTTTGAAAGAACCGGGAGAACAGGAATGGGTCTGTAATTATTTATTTCATCTCTCCTACCAGTTTTGTATACATCAGGCAATAGTTTCGCAATTTTCATTTTGTCAGGAATAATTCCACTTTTAAAAGAATTTGAAATTATTTTGGTTCCAGGAAAATAAGAATGTTTCTTTCGGATCAAAAGTGACTGACTTGCAACTGCAAATCTCACTTTCAAACAACGTGTCACTTCCGATCCCAATGAAACAATGTACTATACTAACCATATGCCATGTCATATAATCAAGTGAGCATCAAACATCAAATGCATCTACATACAAAGAACACGCAGCACCCTATGATTTATTCTAAGAGGTTCATTAAACAAGATGCTTTCGTCTCGCTAATGACCATAGGGTCGCCTCGAATAAAGAGGACCATAAAATGGAGATAAATTTCGTATGCATGAGAATCATGGGACGTTTAATGGATGAAAAGAGTGATGGTAAAAAATTTATAGTACAGAAGAAGCGTTGTCGTATACAAAGTGAATTGGTTATACGTGAGAGAAGAAATTGTAGCAGAGATACCGTGTCGAAAAATATACCTAAAATGATTATACGCTCGATATAGTTGTTTGTAATACACTCACAATTATTAGTGAGTAAATACTTGAACTAATTGAATTTTATTTTCATTCCTGGTACCTAATAGAGTTTCCAATAAAATTTGTTAGTTTTTGTTGCAATCGAGAGTGTTGAGAACATGCATCAACTATTGAGCTATTTTCCATGTCTTCTGAAGAGGTCTCAACTTTGTTGCTATAAAATGTGTCATTTATAGAGCGTTTCAGATTTGAATGTTGATGGAGGACACTTGGATGGTTCCGAATCACATTTTAATATACTTAAATGAATCAGCCTAATCTTTCCCTAATTCTTCAAATCACAAATACATTTACTTGTGAAGCTTAGGCTGTGTCCTGTGGTTTGACCGGGCACATACGTTCAGTATGAAATCTGACCAACCAGATGTTTGGGAATATCGGTCATGTTTCAAACCTGCCCACACACTTACCAAGTTAACTTCTGGATGGGAGTCGAGTCAGCCTTTGACCATTGTGGTATCACCACTGTGGTCAGACGGATGACTTGACACAGCCTTAATTTAAATGGTGACTTCCAATTTTTTTATAGCACTAAAGCTCTTCAATAGACTACCCAATAATTTGAAGAATATCGTGGGTGGAGATTAACTTTTTCAAAAGCCAACTCAATGAATTCTTTACATCATCATGGTACTACTACTACTACTAGTTTTTCTATGACTGTTGAAAAATGGTCCCTTTTTATGTAACAATTTTGTTGGGTACCTGGATGTATTACACAAAACAAGCCACGCCCCGTGTGTAAGAGCTTTTACTCAACGTCCTTTGGCCAATCAGCGACAAAGTAGATTCATTACCTACAAAACAGTTGCCCCAGTTCTACAAAATTGAAATGGAATATATGGGGCATGCAGTGAAACGTTTGAATCAGACTCGCCATGAACATTTGACAATTTGACAATACCTACCCAAGTATACCTGGCGTGATTTAGAACTGAATTTTTGTACAAATATGGATTCTTCGCCTGCGGCTCACGTCGCAAACTTCATTCTCATGAGTAATAGCCATCATTACACGCTCGTTGAATATTATACTATTATTATTATTATTATTCACTACACTTTTTTACCACTAACCAAAGCGATATTTTAAACGCCTCGACACGTGTTTCGCTAACTATGTTAGCATCTTCAGGAGAAGATCAAAACTAAATATCATATTCTAGTGTGCTGCTTATATTCTAGGAATATGTTCACCCAACCGTGAGAAATACTAACCGTCAAGGTAATGTTTGTCATGGTTGAGTTCACATGTTAATCTTAATTTTCATATTACTAAACTATATAGATACTCTATTACTATTCTTAAATATCTCTAAGCTTTCGTATGCGTCTGATTTTTCAATATTATCATCTTGCTTAACTAATTTGAGGTTAGTAATATGTGTGTTATGATTGTGATTGAACATATGTTCGACTACACACGATTTATCTAACCTGCCATATTCCAAACGTGCTATGTGTTCTTTGAACCTTGTTTTTATGGATCGCCTGGTTTGGCTTACATATATGTTTTTTCACAATCATTACAACTTATTTCGTATATTCCCGACTTTTCAAGTTTGTCCACTTTATCTTTCGGATTGCCTAATAAATTGACTAATTTTGACCCAGACTGATAAACGCTTTCAAAACCTTTGAAAACATTATCAAGTCCCTTCGTATCCTTAGGATTGAACGGGATTGGGATTCTTCTAGAGTTCTTTTCGTTCGTTCTTCGTAGAATTTCAAAGTGTTAACTTTTTATGTCTACGTATTAATTTATCTAATATTTTGATATCATAGCCATTGACGCTAGCCACTTCATAAACAATACTTCTTTCAGCATTGAATCTTTCTTCGCTCAGTGGGAATGAAATTAATCTATGTACTAGAAAATTTTAACTTGCCATTTTGTGCTGAAAACAGTGATTGGAGTCATTAGGTGTGTATCTGAATGTGTTAGTTTCTCTCCAATCACTGTATTTACTGATCAATGAAATTATGTAATGTTTATGCGTTAGCTACGTAAATTTGTTTTCTCGGTAGTATACAATACCCATCCGAACCCCCCTCCCTCACCTGCGTGTTGCACGAGAAATGTCTCTTGCTGGCCCCCCGGCAATCGAACCCCTCCTGGCAGGCGCGCTGCTGCGTCGCGACGCCGCCGCCGCAAGAGCGCGAGCACGGCGACGGCGCCGACCACTCGCCCCACGGGCCGGCGTCGGCGTCGGCGTCTTGTGGGTCGGTGACGAAGCTGCCGGGCAAGTAGAGGTGGGCGCCCTGCTGTCGCTTGAACCTGTCCTTGTAGTGGCGGATGCGCTGGAAGCGGAAATGAATAGTATAAGGCATGTTCGTTTGTGCTTGCTCTACCTAGAGTTCCTACAGTCTGTGTAATATTTCTTTGCGTGTGACTGAAATTAGCATAGAGCTATGCGCAACTTGCAACTTTTCAGACTTGCATATAGAGCATATACGTATTAATAATCAATACGGATAATCTCTATCTGTTTCCATAGCGAAACATGAAGCCGATTTTTGAAGACAAATGACTATCCATAAGGAAAAGTTTTGAAACGATCAGACACATACTGCTTTGATTGAAAGGCTAGTAAACGTCATTGTCCACCGAAACGCATGTCTTTGATGACTACTATAATAGCGCATGGCGCATGCGTATCATGCCACCAAATCCTTATGGATATTCATTTGTTTCATATTTTTGGTTTCATCCTGGCACCCGTTATGATCCGTATTGTTTATTAATACGTATATGATATAGAGCAGCAATGTCGATCGGGTAAAAAGCTCGAATTCTGTATTCGATGTTCCTATGTCGCATGGTATGTCGTGACACATGCTGAAATGACATCGTTTTGCGTGGCAATGGTCAAATATTTAACATACCAGGAAGACGTTTGAATTCGCAAGCACGAAGTCTTATATCGACTTTGTTACAATATTTCACAAGAGAAAAAGGTAATAATGGTCTTTTAATCTCGCCAGAATTGGCGAAAACTAATGGAAAATGGAATACGATGCATTAAAAGTGTTTGTGGAGTCCTTGTCTACAGATTCAGAAGTTCTAGCAGTTCTTCTGATAGTTTCGAGGATGAAATATTGTTGTTTACATTGGGGAGTAGAAGAGATAGGTTGGAAATTCTCAACAACCTGTATACAAACATATATTGATATTTTAAAAGATGCTGTTATGAAAGTCTTGATTTAATATATCTTTACTCAACCGTTTTCCCCAAAACTTTAGTGTATTGTAACATTTCGCAAACAATTTGAATGATGAATTCTGATAAATACAAACAGAAATTGTTTGGTAATTCTGATTGGAACTGAATTCCAAAATGACTGTTGACAGTTCCTAGAATTGACAGGCCGGACAGGACAGGACTCAAATGACTGAATGTGTGTTTAAAAAACTCTGTTGCCATGGTAATGTGTTCAAAAAATTGTGTTGCCACGGTAACGTATTTAATTTTTTTGATAAATCACAGATCATCTATCCGAGATTAATCGATCATTTAGCGAGGTACATATCCGTACGGTAAATGCCATTTTAGTTATGGTAGTAGAAGAAAGTGGTCGTTTGCTCCGCATCCTTTCATTTCAATAATCATGAATGAACGGATGCGTAGGAGATGAATACCAGTTTTGTCTCACATGGCACAGTAGTTGTGAAATTAATCGGAAGAAGGTCGAGGCCATGGCGATTTTCTCATCAGTTACATAATCGATGTTATTGTATCTGGTTATGCTTAGCGACGTGTGAGGAATTCTGTCTGTCTATAAAGTCTATAGAGTCTAGGCGATGTCTGCTTCTTGACTATATGGTCTGCTTAACGTTCGGATTACAAAATGAGATGAGAGAATTTATTTAAGATATGTTCTCGTTTTTGCAATGTAAATATTGGTTGAATATTGCAATCTTTATCATGATTGAGTCATCCATATCCCGATTTTTGTGAACCATAATATTTCTGCATTTTAGTATGAATAATGTCTGAAGAGTTGAATGGTTAGTTTTTTGGAAAAATGCTCAGACTTGTCGATTTTTACTTTTTGGTAGATACATGTATACATGGTAGCTCAAAAAGAAGTCAACCGTCAACTTCCATGAGATCTTCTTCTGTTTTTGATTAGATTGACTATATACCTACCTTGATTTTTCTTTTTTTTTCTTGGCTGATTTATCTTCTTCAACCCTAATATCACGTACTTCTCCTTTACGTTTTGGTACAATAAGTACAATTTGATTCTGTAATTAATTCATGGTTCTTCTTTAGTAATTATTTTGTTATAACAGAACATTCTGACCATTAGGCTGATTTTGTCCATGCCATTTAGATTGTATATATCATTTGTCGCTGTCATTCTGTCAATGTCATTCTGTTAATGTTTGTTGCCTCGCCAGTCGCCCATTCCTTGGTTTCTGTTTTTAATTCTATGGCCATTTTATGATTTTTTCATTTTTTTTATGTTCTGGTTCCCACGAAAAGAGATATTCTGTAATGATCAGAGAACATCGTGAGAACAAAGGGAAATAAAGTAGGAATTGGTGTTCTCCTTGAATTCCTGGAGGTTATATGCCTCGGAAAACACCTCCCTTGGCAATGTGTTCCAGAGCCTCGCAGTTCGTTGGATGAACGAGTCTTCGGAAAGAGATATTCTGTAGGTCTCCAAAGTGACCACGGAGGGGTGCGAAACTCCAACTCGACGGGTTAATCTCGCGGGGACTGCCAAGGAAGGAACGATTGTGGATATTTCAGAAGAGCATCGTCCATGAAAATATCTATAAAATAGAGCCAGATCGCCAATTTCTCTACGGTGTTCCAGAGAAGTGAGTGAGTTTTGTGAGCGAGGCATCACCCACGAGACGAATTACCCTTTTATGGGCAGAATCCAACAGTTTCAGGGTATGTTTGGGTGCTGCACTCCAAATGGAACAGTATTCCAGGACAGGTCGGATCTGTGCCTTATAGATCAAAAGCAGCTGACTGGAAGCGAAATAGCTCCTGGCCCGAAACAGAAAACCACGTATTTCCCAAGAAGGTTAATGCTGATAGTAATACCAAGCATCGAAATGGATGTCTTCAAAGGTATGGTTACTCCTGACAAGCTTATGTTGGGCACAGTGAGATCGGCTTTTCTAGAGAAAAGGCATGCTTGTGTTTTGTTTGCATTGAAATCTACCAAGTTATTGGATTCCCATTCGAGAACTGTTATTGCCAAGTCCATATTTATGTTGTCAACATTTCTCCCTCGTTCGTTTCTGATTTGCCTGGCTGGCATTGGAGCCCTGATGAAACTCGTTTGAGTGAATTAGAATGTGTTTTCGCAATCTTTGTGCCAATGTTGAACCTGATTATCGTTGGGTTCTTTTGGCTGCTCAGTCGGTTCAAACAATCTAGTTTTTTTTACCGGACTGATTTTTTCGATTCTATGAGTCCAAGGCTTATTCTTTAATAATATTTTCAATAATGTGATTTCCATATGGCCTTATAGGTATGTTTTTTCTCAGCAACTTGTTCCTCTGTTATTTTAAACCTTTTCACAGGTAATGTATTAATGTGTCTGAAGATGGGTATTTGAGCCAAAGCAAGTCACAATACAATTTGTGTAATATCACTTCTGTGGTCGACCGACATGGTTTGTTTTTCTTTCATCTTCTCGAATGGAAACACCTATTTAGTATTACATTTTTGAACTTTGCACCGAATTCTAGGTATGTTTCATGTAAGTACCATGTCCAATCCTAAACTAGACAGTTATCAGAGAAAATACGATATTGAACATGTCAATAAGTAGAGACCTGTTCGATTTGAGGTGGCCCCACAAATAGAAATCCATCGGAGTTAGATCTGACCACCTATAATAGCCCATTCGATAATTGCTCTCTTTTCCATCCACCGATTGGAAAAGGTTTCAATCAAAAATGTTACGGAAATGATCGACCATTCCATCATGAAACTATCTGGTACTTCACTACTATGCGTTACCTACAAGTCTCATTCAACAGAATTCACTGATCAATTCAGTTTTCTATTCCAGAACCGATAAAAGTCGATTGGTATCTCTAGAATGCATAGTCAAACATTATTTTGTTATAAAGAAATAACCCACAGGCATTTTTTTCCACAGACGTGTCGTGATAAAGATATTCCTCTCAGGTCTTCTCCCATGTTGAAACCACCGTGAAATCTGGTATCAGACAAAATATCTCAATTAAATCAATTACGAGAAAATTCCATACACGTGTATTCACTATTCACCGGAGAGCATGCATTCTGTGAGGCCTTAAATAAATCCACGGAGTTTTTACCGTAAAAAAATAATCGATCAAGATAATTGTACACTTCTCTACGGTACAGAGACCAATAAATCCAGAATGATTTATACCTAGTACTTCTGTATCTTCGAAGCCATTGCCCACTGTTCAATACTGCTTCTATCGCAATAAAAAGATTGGAGTCGGTACTTACTAGCTGGAAATGAAGATTTCATATAAAAAATATTATCGTGTTGCTACCCGCTGTTTCAATTAAATCTTTGAAACATTAATCAATTAACGATAAGCGGTAGTGGAAAAAGAATACGTTTTCTTTGCTGTATCCATAGATAGTCGAACACCAATTCAACCGTTATATGAACAAAATTACAACAAAAATTAGTATTCCACTGATTAGTGAAAAATTGTGCTCCACTGTATAGTGCCTCCCAAAACAAGTTTGGCCTCTATAATAAGTGTTCTCCAATGCAGCAAGAGTTCAGTTATTATAATTACCAATGATTGTTTCTATGCTTTCTACGTTTCAGAATAAAAAGAAAGACACAAAATTGTTTTTTTTTTCAAAAGTAATTCTCCACGTTTTTTCATCACCATTATTTTTTTTTCTGTTCGAGACTTTTTTTCCAACTTCATTATACATAATATACATACAGCATTATGAATATTATGACAAATTGACTTGCGACAAAATTAGTTGAATTAAAAAATAAACGCGAGATGTATCATTGAATATGGCAGCAAATAGAACAAGTTGGTGAGACTGTTAAAAAATGCCCTCCCCCAAAAACATAAATTGACGAAACCAAAAAAAAATGTATTTCTCTAATTTTCGGAAGGCAAAATTCTCATTGAAGTACCCTGTATCTACTGTGAAAATATTTGTTATTTATCTAATGCTTGGTACTGTTGGTAGCGGTACTTGTGCAATTGAGGAAATGATTATAATATCAATCAAAAGATTAGAAATGGCGAAGAAAGGATGATGCTGATATATACTCACATGTCTGCTTAACACATTGTGGAAGAAGCTGATAAATAAAATGGCTAAAATCAACGGAGACCTGCAACAAAAAAGAAAAAAGAAAAGTTAGAGTTAGAAGGAAACATTTTCCAGCAAACACGTTAAACTCTTCTAGACTTCTATAGGAGTTTGTGTGATAATGATGCATTCACATTTTGAAATAAAATCTATATTTTCAATGCCTATTTCCTATTTACATAATGCAGAAGAGTCATTTTAGTCTTTATTATGATGGTAAGTATGGAAATAGTATATATTCAACTTATTTTACCGTTTTTGGATGTATGACAAACTGATATTCATCATACAGGGCGTGAAAAGCAATTCTGAATTGAGAAAACCTAATCACAAATCTGCGATTAAGTTTCTATAAAAATAACAAGTTTCCATCGTTCATGTTTAAACCCCTTGATTGGGTGAAAGTATTGAAAAGGAATATTCTCAGATACATTATACGAACATGAAAAAATGGATATATACATAAATAAATACATTGAGAATTCCAATTTTGACGAAAGAATCATAATCTCCGTCCGCCAATTTTTACACAGAGAAATAATTGACCTCATCTTCATACATAAAATAGTGAATAACCAAATCGACTCATCTACTTTGTTATCGTCACTTTGCTTTAATGTGCCTCGAATAGCATCTCGATCAATTATAACTTTTCATATAGTTATTCCAAATTCACAACATCATTTCCATTGTCCGCTCATCTCAATGTGTAGGAGTTATAACAAACTCAAAGATGTTGATATATTCTTCCAGACACTACCACAATTCAAAATAAAAATATCAAGGTCGTTGAGTAATTGAATATGCACATCATATACATGTAGGAATGTGTACATATGAATATGTATATATACCTATGTATCGAATTTTGTTCAAACCCATTTTCTTCAGTATATCCCAAGTATTACCTCACATATTAAGATTTTCACCTGTAATTGGGCTTTGCCTGTTGGATGTAATTGAAATAAATAAATAAATAAATAAATATGGAAGTTTCCAATTTCGCCAAAAGCATCATAATCTCCTACCCCGAGAACCCCCAGATGTTAATTTGGAATAGAATCGGATCATATAATTACAAAACTCGTTCACCATATTGGATCCGTCATCTTGAATTTTCCAGTTTTGACGAAAGAATCGTAATCTCCAACCCCTAAAACCCCAGGCAGCAATTTTGACTATACAATCGGATCATAATTACAGGACATGTCCGCCATATTGGATCTGCCATCTTGCATTTTATTTTAACGAAGGGATCATCATCTTCGAATCCGAAAACCATACCAAATACACCTGCGTGGAAAAATATCACAAATTTAATCGAAACGGAAAGAATTAATTTTTGAATGAGCAATTTGTTTGCACACAAAGATCAAAATCCCAGAGGATGCCTACATTTTGAAGGGCATCTTGTATGGTAAAATCTTCGAATACTGTCCTGCGTGATGATTATGTTCACGTCGACAGCCTGTACGGCACTTCATAGTGAATATGTGAAGAGTCTAATTGGATGGTATGCCGGATACAATTAGCATCTATACAAGATCGTTTTATGATAAGCCCATCTTTAAGCGACAGGTAGATATCTATGAATGTCTATGACCAGAAAATCCGTTGGGTAAACACATACAGAGAGAACAGAAATCGTTCGTTTCCCAGTCCAATTACCGATCAATCAGCGGATCGTTGAGATTCCACTAGAAGTCAAGAGGAACTGGGTTCCAAGTTAGATATAGGGTCTTCTCGACCAGTTAACCAAAATGTCAGCTTTGAGAAAGGTAAATTCGTTACAAGCTTATAACATTGTATTGGAGTTACAGATAAGATGTTTGACAAATTGATGATATCTCCAAAATCGTAACACTTTGTATAATGAATAAATATAATAAATATCTTCATTTTCCTTTAGACTTTCTTAAAAAGTATAGGAATAGTCAGGTTGTTACAAAAATATAAATCCATAAACTAGATAAATGACAGATTACATAATATGATAGTCGAACATTGTATAAAAGAGAGAAACATTATATACCTACCTATACAATTTTGATATTAGAATATTGGTGGACGATGGTTATATAATATGGTCAATCATGGGAATATTCTTCAAGCGAGTAGATACACTTTTCTATGAGAAATGATTTAAAGCATTTTTTGAAAGAAGTTACATTTTTTGCGTTTTTCAAATATTCAGGTAAGTTATTGAATATTCTAGGATCTAGGATATTTTGTGTAAGTATTACTCGAAATACTTTTTCTGCTTGGTTGAATATAGAATTCGTTCCTCGAGCAAGTACTCACCACATGTATTTCACTGTTGCGAGCAAACAGTTGCTTGTCAACAAATACATAGATACATAATTCAAATATAAGGAGGCAGGGCAGCGTAATATCTTCAACCTTATGAAAAAAGGCTTGCAGGAATCCATTCTCTGAATGCTCATCATACTTCTTACAGTTTTTTTTAGCCAGAAAAATATCCTATACTTATACATAATTCGAGACATAATATCAATGAAATATTTCTTCCATTCAACATCATGTTATATTTTCGCCACTAGATGGCGATCTTTTCGCCTCGTCTATGCCTGCCTTGAATTCATAATATACATGAAGCCTGATTCTTCTAGTATCAGCTGAAGAGTAGGAGTTAAGTAGGAGAGATTGCACTGCAGATCTATGCTATTTTTATTATTCTAAAATTGGAAAATTTCAGTAAATTTCCCACTCAATACTGAAATTGGATCAACAAAATAATCTATCAATTTGAAATACAGTTTCTCTTGTATCAAGATAATTTCATTGAATCAACGAACTCGGAGACACGAGATTCAGCAACTAAATAAACCGCTAACACGGCATCACTGTGAACAATGCCGTCATCTTGTGGCATAACATCCACCAAAGTTTCTTCCACCATCCCCTATTCCTGTGATCCTGTTGTATGAGTCGCGTCTATGCGACTACGTCACGCGTGCCGCAGTGCCGCGTTTCTCACCTCCGAAATTCGTCCTTGCCAGAGTTCACGTCGCAACACTCCCAACTGCAGTGTTGCCAGAACTTTTTTTGCAATTGTACCAACCCAAGTGAGGAAAATGTACCACTTTGTACCACCACCAATAACGCGTTGCCATCACTTGAACATGGCCACACAAAACTCAAAATTTTATATAATTCTCATCTTTCTCAAGATTATGGTCCTTGCTTCCCATCGGCGCATTCAACTACTATTTTACTCAAGGCAGAGATTATACACTCCATATTTTCATCATTGATGGAAGTGAAGTTGGGCATGGAAAGTTCAGTTCTTGTACCAAATTGCATCATTTTCTCGCCTCATGTTCATATGAACTTGTCTTCCTATTTTTGGTCGAAGAAGCCGCTGGTGAAGTTTTTCAGGCAAATTTTGAGACACCCTGTATGAATTCTCCCATGCAAGGTCATGAAGTTTCTCGTTTTATTTGTAAACGTCATTCTGTTCCCATCACCGCTACCAGAATGGAACAAATAAACCGCAACTACAATGAACAAAGTGCCACTTCTGGCAACGCTGCTCAACTGCCGAAAATCCGTTTCCTGGCCCCCTACCCACGTGGCCTCCTGCTCTCCGGGCAGTCTGGTTGCCGAAGTAACCCGTATTTCGACCCCGGACAAGGTTGTCGGCCTGGCCCAGGGCCCTTGGAGGGCCGCGAGCAACAGGTGGATGGCAAAGGGGGTTTGGCCTTTATCCCAAATGCCTGAAGCATGGTGAATGATTGCAGGGAACATATTATATAAGAATTTGTTGACTCGACATATTTGTGTTTGGATTGATATGGCTTGGATTCAACAATTTTTTGTTGAATGAGGAGTTTCAGTTTGCGTTACAGTTACAAGATCGTGAGTCTATATCATATACAAAATTCCCAAAATTTTGTCGAATAGTCATTAAGGCTAAGGCCTGTTTTCTCGAGAATTTCCTGTGAAACAGCTCAAGTTATGGTTAGACTTGGTCAGTTTCGCGAATTTTAATTTCAATGTGAGTTTTCACATTAGGTACGTAAGAAGAGGCCAAATTTCTTTTATTCGTCTGAGGGCCAAATGAAACGTAAAGAAGAAGTATTCCTGACACTCTGACAGTTCTACCATCGTCAAACTAAGAACTATAATCGGAGGATGGTTCTACCAACCGTGAGCCCCTATTAACCAAAATCATTATTTCAAAGATTCAACTGATTCAGGAATTGAATTAACAGTTTGATATCAATTCGGTCTTCGGTCAACGAATTATATTGTCATATTTTGTTGATACAAAAATGATATCAATGTTGTATCAACATAGATTTTGTTCATTCAATCAAAAGTTATGATTCAGATACTTATTATAGTTTCAATCAAACATACAAGTTTTCATATTTCAATGCAAAAGAGAACTAGTTTCAAACAGATCTTCTCTTGTTAGGCCTGTTCGTTTGTGCTTGCTCAACCTGCTAAACTTGATTTTTTTCTATGACTTTCTTCGTTTACATCATGGCATGAAAGGAGACAACTATGGAAAAAAGATAAACTTTAGCCAGTTCGGCAAAATAAACGAATGGGCCTGTTAATATATAGAGTAATGGAACACACAATATCATTTATGTTATAGCAAAAAGTATAGACGATACACCCATTAATCAATCAATTTTATCTACTCACTGAATCGAAAGGAGGCGTTTGCTCCCTCATTTCAGGAAACAAAGTTGTCCATTTACTCCCTTGGGAGGAAAAAAATATTAACTGTCGTGGGAGGAAAAGTAAATTGGCTACAGCATGCATCCTTTGGCGTCGATATACTTATAAAACCTGTGCAATCCAAGTAATCAGTGTTTTTATAACTATTATAAAACAAGTAACAATAATATCCTTTTTGAATTCCCATGATATCATCTTCATAATCTGAACGTACTTCTTATCAACACTTTCAAATTCAGTTACACAACATACAAATCGATTAATTCATGATGATCGAAGTGGCAAATTTACTTTCGTTCAAATGCCGT